TGGCACACAGTAGGTGTTTAATACGTGTTCAGTGAATGAATGAATAAGCAGGTGCTGTCCTGTCTGGCCATCTCAAAGGCTGCGGCGGCGAGAACATCACAGAGGGGCTCACGTTCCCCGGGGTGGCTCATTCGGCACCTTCAGGAATGTAACCTCTTCACAAACGTATATGCTTTTATGAATTTAGGCTCATTTAAACTTCTCAACGATATTAGACAATCACTCCCATTCAATGGATATCAGGCAAAATTGCATGGAGCAAAAGCTGACATTGGGCTTAGGTGAGAGGTGCCCAGAGAGCCCCAGCTGTTAAGAGGAAAAGCCCACAGTGCCCCCTCTAAAGGGTTATAACACGGGAGAACATCCAAGTAATCACTCTTGTGTGTTAAAAGATCTGTCATTGGCAAGAAGCTCAAACGACCTAGAAAAAGAGAAGAGGAATAAGAGAGAGAAGCACTTCACAGAATCCCACTCAAACTCTGACATCACCCAGCCTCTCTTGGGCAAGCACCCAACTGACCAGGCAGGGCCCAGAGGGGAGCAACCGAGACCCCAAATCCAGGAGTTCGCACCTGGGCTTGGGCGGGGCTCAAGGAGCGGGGAGAGCAGAGACACCCCAGGTCTCGCCAGAACTACCCAAGCGGGGCTGTCTACCGTGAGGTCACCATGGCCACAGGCTCTGCGGAGCGCTGGACATTGCCGCCTGCCCAAGTGTTGACGTCTTGGAAAAGATGGACACGCACAGTTTCACAGGCTGCTCAGCCCGCTCCTGGCCGTCGCTCATTCTGAAAGTCCAGTTCATAGCGTGCTGGGAGTGGTGGTGGGTTTGGGAAGACATCCGGGGCGTAGTCCCATGGCCCAGCAGCAGTCTGCCAGCAGCCCCAGCTGCCTCCTCTAACAGGCTGAGTCCAGACGGATGCACTCGCAGGCACGCAAGTAGTAAGCGGTCATCTCAGGCAGGCTGCATCCTCAGCAAGCGCTGTGCTGGCCACTGAGCCGCTAGACAGGGCCGTTACCGTGATTGCCTCAGCCAGCTGCCTACCAATGGCCACCATCTTAAGGCAGGCGAGGCTCAGAGACGTTAAGAAGCCTGCCCAAGGTCACACAGCCAGAATTTAAGCGTGTCAACCTGAGCCCTAGGCCTGAATTCTCAGTCACTATATTCTGTCCCTCCTCCCAAACCTCCTCCTCTTCCAGAAGACAGACTGGGGTCTGAAGGACTCCCTGAGGGTCCACTTCTACCTTGTCACTGTGCTGCCCCCATGACCCACCTCTGACTTCCAGCTCTGGGAACCGCCCACTTTTTAATCCTCCTGTTCAATCTCTGCCAGTGGGGTAGGCGACGCTGGGTCCCTGTTCGGCAGTTTCCCTGCCTTAACTCAGCCTCTCACTTCTCAGAGGTCAGGGGTCACCTGGGGCAGTACCCACACTTGTTTATTCAGTCTGTTTGATGGAGCACTTCAGCTTGTACTGCTGGGTAGGAAGTGGTTTGGCTACTTCTAGACTCCAGATAGAATCAGATGCTTAGCCAGTATTTGCTAATATTACTTTAGGAGGCTTGATGGGGAGCAGATTACACTGTCCCTGCCCTCAAGGGTCTCACATTAAGAGTAGGGGTCCAACATTATTCGTTAAGCACCCGAGCCAAGGAAAAGTTAGGTGCGTCCACTATCCATACCAAGTGTGGCAGTGCTGGTGTGGACAGCCAGATGGCTGAGATGGCTGGAAGCGAGCCCCGGGCTGAGGACGGGTAGGTGAGTTAATAAGCAAAGATGGGGAAGAACATTCTGAGGAAAAGAAAACAGGACTGCATATCTAAAGGCCCCGGGACAGCAGGGACAAGAGGCCGACATGTGGGTGGACAGCATGAGAGGGCACTGGTGGGAGGCTGGGCAATCCCGTCAAGTTCTGGCTACGTCCCAGGTACACTCGGAGGCCGCACGGGCAGGCTTGACTTCCATACTGAAGATCGTCTTGGGAAAAGCATTGCAGAATCCCTCTTCATTTGATTCTTCATTCTCGTCACCTGACCCGTCTCTCCTGGGCCTATTAGGGAACTAGAGGGGGACAAACAAGTGGGGAAGGGTTGATGGGCTTTGGCACTGACAGAAATGGAGCAAGGAGCGGATCTGAGAAATACCTGGTGCAAGTCCGTGCCCACCCCTGGGTTTGCCCACAGCTGAAACAGCCCAATAAGGCAGGTAGGTAGGCAGAAAGGCCCCTCCCGAGGTGAGGGTGAGGCAGCTCTGAGGTCTGGGTCTGGTCCTTGTGGAAGGACCAGGATCTCCAGAGACAAGGGAGAATTTCCCATTCTCAGCTGAGAAAAGGCGTGAGGCCTGTATCTGTCCAAATTTCTGGAGAAATGTGGGCAGGCCCCTGATGCTATCAATGTGTGGGTCCCAGTCTTCAGAACCTGTCCCTCTCCTCCGATGTCCCTCCACCTCCAGGAGGACCATGGGGGTGGTGTAGGGGCTCTTGGGCCTGGACATTTGTGCTGGCTTCCTCACTTATTTACTCTGCGACACTGGGCAAACGCCCTTCCATGTCTGCCACTTCTTTGGGAAGACTGGAAGTCGGAATTATCGGTGACTTAACTTTGGGGCAGAGCCTTTGAAAGTCTGTGGGAAGCTATGACCATTATGCCCATAATTTTTGGTAACTGCAGTGTTCTTGAAGCCCTGGGGTGGGGCAGGATGGGGACTTAACTGGGCGTCAAGTTAAGCCCTGGATGGGGCAGTAAAAGCACCATTTTTGATGGCCTGCCAAAGGCTGGTCTTATACTTTCACCTAATCCTCACTGTAATCCCTTAAGGAAAGCTAACTTTCCCCACCTGCAGCCCAGAGACAGAGTTGAAGGGACTTGCCCCAGCTGGGAGGAGCTACCAAGCCAGGTCTTCCGGAAGCCCAGGAATGGAGACATCTCTGCTCACATCTCCCTCCTGCCCCCCTGTCCACACTCCAACCCGGTACATGTAAAGAGCACTCTTTTTTTTTTTTTTTAAAGATTTATTTATGCTTACAGAACTGGGGTACAGGCTAGAGGTGTGGTGGGTGAGAGGATTCACCAGAGACAGGGTGGGGAGCAGAACAGGCAGATTGACGAAGCACACTGCTGCCGGGAGCAGCGGGCGGGTCAGGGGAGGTCTGTGGTGCCATGTGGGTCACTCCCTGGCTGGGGATTGAACTCATGCTGCAGTGGCTGCGGAGAGCTTCATAATGCAGCACTTTAACCCGTTGCACCACCAGGGAGAGCCCAGAGCACTGCTTTTTTACAATTTGAAGTGCTCCCACGAGGCAGGGCTTACCCTGTAAGGGAAGATGGAGGACCTGAGACTCAGAGAGGCTAAGCGGCTTGCAAGGTCACACAGAAAATTGGGGGTCCAGCTGAGATGTGGGGGCGTGTGAGGTCATCCCTAAGTGCCAATGCAGACTGGCCTTAGCTGGTTGCAACTTGGAAGACCAGCAGAAAGAAGGGGGGCACTGAGATTAGGGAAGAGGTGGGCTCTATTGCTCTAGGCCTCGAAGAATGAGCTCCAGTCTGGTCAAGGGAGCCTGTCACCCCTGCAAGGCTAGGTTCTTTCATTTCTTCCTGCCTTAATTCATGCTGCACACCCCCCTCCCCCTTTCTCCACCCATCAAGACGGCTTAACTGCCTCCCCTGGGACTTGAGACCTCCACTGCCAATTCACTTTTTCCTGCTGGGCCTGGGGAGAAACGTTCATTTCATTTCCCAAACCTGAACTCGAGGAAGGCAGGACCCCCTGCCTTGCTCCTACACCTTTTGGGGAGGGCAGGGTGGGGCTCAGGCAAGGATCAGATCACGGATCTGAGGGTGCACCCCAAAGAAATGGGTCTCCTGGGAGTCCATCCGCTCTGATCTCAGCTGCTTCTAGGCCCTCCCCTATACCCCTTCGGTTGAAGGGTACCCGGAGAGTAAGTTGGGGTCAATGACACAAGCCTGAGGAGGAGTTGATATCCTCCTCCTCCCTGTCGCCACTCTGGCATAGGCATGTCTCCTCGTGCTCACCAAATGTCTGCTTCCTCCCTGCCTTGCAGTTCAACGAATTACCTTGGGGAGAGGAGCAAGTCAACCCTGCTCGAAGTAGAGATGCTTTTGACTGATGAAACTCTGTGGGTGGTTCACCCCAAAAGCACAGACAGAAAAGGGCACGCCTCGACTGCCCGCCCCTTTTTAAAAAGCCCTCTTGGTCAGGGCCGCCTTTCATCCAGTCCTCCGCCCCCCAACTCGGCAGCTCCGGCCCAGACACAAACAGGCACCCGAAAACTGGGCGGGGGGAGGCGCGGCGCCTTTAAGGGGCGGCGGGCGCTGCTGCCCCCTGGCGGC